GATAGACATAAAGAGGTATAGAGAACATATGAAATATTTAGGGGCACTGTTGGCAGCATGGTCAATGGGCTGATGAAAGATTTTATTAATTGTCTTTCTCTCTTTTAGAATGTAAAGTCCAACAAAGCGGGAATACAGCCTGTCTTACTCAGCACTGTGCTCCTTAGGAGTGCTATGGGGGAAAAGGGGTGAACGAATGTTCATGGTGATGCTTAAGTAAAGAAGGAATTAGCCAAGTGTAGAACGGGGCTAAAGATATCCAGTCAGAAGAAACTGAACCAGCAAAGACATATCCCTAAAGATATTTTTAGGAAATTAAGAGGCAGGCTGTTGGAACAAATGGAGTACAAAGTATGGAGTGTAGGGGTGAGGAGAGAGGATTCGACAGGGGTAAGACTATGGAAAATCTTGTTTACCAAGCTAAGAAGTATGGCGCTTGTATGGGTGAACACTCGTGTATAATGTCACTGTGGGCAGTTGCTGGCATGGGCTGATTTGACAGGACCTGTAATTCCTGCTCCAAGCCTAAAATATGCTTTCCTTGCGAGACTGCCAAAGTACCTATGATTTTTTTTATTTTATTATCAAGCCCAAAGTAATAAGCACATTAACCAAAAACAGCTGCTACTTCTTATTCTCCAATTAGTTTATCAGATTTGCTAGCCAGATCAATTTTCACAGCAACCATATGAGGTAGTTACTTTCATTAGCTCATTTGACAAATGAGGAGACCAAAGCACAGATAGGTTGAGTAGCTTGCCCAAAGTCACACAGCATTCCAGTAGTAGAGTCAGGATGCAAACCTAGTTACCTTGGCTACAGAATCCATTCTCTTAACCACCGTTTTATTTCAAATGTATCTTCCAGTTCACCATTTCTCTCTTCAGTTGAATGCATCCACTGTTTAACCCATTTGATGAATTTTTCATTTCTATAACTTTTTTAATTCTAGAATTCCTATTTAGTTCTTTTAAAATGTCTACTTTTTTGTCATATTATCCTGTACTTGCCCTGTGGTTTCTATTCCCTCTTTCATCACCAAACATTTTCTAACATTTATACTCTCCAATTCATCTGTTGCATTTAGTTTCTAAGATATGAACTTCTCCACATGTTTGATCTGCTGGCTCTCACTTAGGGTGGAATTTCTCTTTCTCTCTCTCTCTCTCTCTCTCTCTCTCTCTCTCTCTCTCTCTCTCTCTCTCTCTTAATCCTCACCCAAGGATATATTCCCATTGATTTTTAGAGAGAGTAGAAGGAAGGGGGAGAGACAGAGAGAGGGAAACATGGATGTGAGAGAGGCACATTGATTGGTTGCCTCCTGCATGCACCCTGACCAGGACTGGAAATCGAGCATGCCACTGAGGTATGTGCCCTCCACCAGAATTGAACCCAGGACCCTTCAGTCTTGGGCCAATGCTCTATCCATCGAACAAAATGGCTAGTGTGCATTTTTCCTCTCTTGCATGCATCCTATCTAGCAAAAGAGTAATAAGCAGGTCGACCATCACTCCAACACACAAGATGGCCACCCCCATGTGGACACAAGATGGCCAGCAGGGGAAAGCAGTTGGGAGGGACCAGGCCTGCAGGGGAGGGAACCAGGCTGGAAGGGGAGGGCAGTTAGGGGCAATCAGGCCAGCAGGGGAGCAGTTAGGCATCAATCAGGCTGGCAGGGGAGTGGTTAGGGGCAATCAGGCAGGCAGGCAGGGAAGTGGTTGGGAGCCAGCAGTCCTGGATTGTGAGAGGGATGTCCGACTGCCCGTTTAGCAGTCAGACATCCCTCGAGGGGTCCCAGATTGGAGAGGGTGCAGGCGGGGCTGAGGGACACACCCCTCCCTCCCCTGCACAAATTTCGTGCACCAGGCCTCTAGTAGTATATATAAAAGTAAACGTAACATCAGCAGGAGTTTGCTGCTGTTGTTTTGATTTTTTTAAAATTTTGATTCTGGTGTGAGACCCACATGCACTGAGATGTTGAGACACTTTTATGACCTGCTTTTCAGTATCTCACAGTTCAATTAATTCCAGACCAAGTTTTCACGTTATCTTCTTGGCTTGTGGCTTGTGCACTATATAATAAGAACCCCAAACCCATACACGTTTAGCATAGGTTTGGTTTGGATTTCTCATGGGTGATCCCCATGACCCAGGGTGGCTGACAGACTTCCATAGTGGAAACCTCGGCAGAATCTTCCTTATTTGATGCTCAGCCTCGTCATTCCTCACTGAAAGCTAGCTACATAGGCGGTTGTTGGCTATGGCCTCAACGCTCATCCCCACTGGGTACTTACTGAAACTCCAGCCCCTACGAACCCTACACACTGCCCATATTTTCATAGGACCTTTTGTTTAATTCCTTCTCACTAATCATTGCTCCATTACTGAGCTCGCTCTTTGTTTCTAGCACCTGGGATTTCTACTTTTTGCATATAAGTCTGGCAATGGATTTTTTGCCATTGTATATTTTCTCCAGCATCTCTCTGTGATCGGCTGATATGTCCCTTGAAAACCTAGTCCATCAAATTGACCAGAAGGTTATGATTAAGCACTTCGGTATCAGTCTTTCCCTTATGGAGGACAGAGACCTTTGTCTGATTCATCTTTCGATCCTAAGTCTTACAGTGCCCAGAACAGAGTAGGCAGCAATCAAGATTTGATCAATGAATGAATGAATTAATCATCTTTTCTTTTATTTTAAGTGGGAATGAAAGAGCATGCAATAATGATCTTCTAGACAAAGAAGATACCAAGAATCCCTGGAAAGCCATCCATGCTCTCTGGAAGGTCATGCTGAACATACAAAAAGTTTGAGGCCTGCCTGAGTTCAGTCCTTTGGCCTGTAGGTTCATTACTACTGACACTACTTCTCTCTTGAAGGGCAATCACCGCTAATTACATGCTGGTCTAGCAGAACTATGAAGGCTGGCAGGCTAGGATCTTCACAGGGCTCTGCTGCCTTTCAGCACACACTGATGTCCCTTCATAGCCACCCTTGGAACCTGATTAATAGCATGTAGGAGAAAATAATGTCATTTTTCTTGTTGGTGCCATAAGGAGCTGGCCAATTAAGTTCACATTTTTGGAGCACCTGACACAGAGTAGGCACAGAGTTAACGTTTAGTGTGCTTCATGTCTTCTTCTCCATTAAAAACAGTTCATAAATGTTTGTTGAAAATCTTCTGCCTCCTGGGTACTGTGCTTGGTGCTGGAGGTGGAGAAGAGTAACATACAGTCCCTGTTTCAAGCCTTAATTAGATAAAGAATTTTCAGATCAAACTGAATAAAAAATTACTCTAAATGTCCTTTGATTTAAGGTGAAAAGACATCTCACCTCATCCTGCCACCCTAAAATACCTAAGAAGCATAACCAGCAAAATAATTTTGTCTATGACTACGTTGTACAGTTCTCTTACCTCAGAGAAGAAATACACTCCCAGTAAATATATAATAGAGAGCTGATCATCAAAGGCAATTTTTTATTTGTTTTTTGGTTAATCCTCACCCAAGGATATTTTTCCATTGATTTTTAGGAGAGTGGAAAAGAGAGGGAAAGACAGAAACATTGATGTGAGAGAAACACATCGATTGGCTGCCTCCTGCACGAGCCCTGACCAGGGCCAGGCCAGGGAGGAACCTGCAACCAAGGTGTGTGCTCTTGACCAGGATGGAACCTGGGAGTCTTTGGTCCGCAGGCCAACGCTAACTGGCTAGGGCTCCTCAAAGGCAATTTTTGACAATGAGTTTTGAGTTCCTTTTATCATTATAATCCCAGAACCTTGAATCGTGCCTGAACTAAAGTAGAAACTCAGTAAATCTGTTGAATGTATTGGCACACATATATGTGGGTATGGCCCATCCATCTATGTCCCCAGATATGGTGTGGCCCATCATTCCACACATATTTATTGAGGATTTCCTATGAACAGCAGTCTGTCTGAGATCTTGTGATGGGGACAAAGACAAAAAAAAGAACAAGATATCTTACCTATGAGGAATTTCCAGGTTTAAGGGTGAGGTATCTAGGTATGTCAGTCACCATGACATAACATAGAAAATGCAAAGAGAAAACCACGGAAATGGGCTATGGGAGTTCCAAAGGATAGGCCACTTCCTGCAGAGGCAGAGGGATTAGGTAAGACTATGGCTCATGGAGACTTTATGCTCAGACTTGAAGGAGAAGTAATTTGCCACCTTGTAGAGGGAGAGAGCGGGTATTGGCAAGGAAGGAAGGGCCAGTCAGATGGGAAGAATGACTTAGACAAAAGCAGAGGGTCAGAAAAGCACAGGCTATATAGACAGAAATACAAATTTGGCTGGAAATGCGTAAAGGGGTATGGGGGAGACTAAGGAGAAATAAGGCTGGAAAAGTAATATGAGACCATGGCAGGGGCTTTAAATGTGTCCTGATTTATCATTCCAGGATAGAGGCTCTCTATAGAGTAGCCAGTGCTTAGCATATGGCCAGGCTTCATTAACACTACAACAACCTCATAGTAGGAACCTGCTCCCCACGCGCACAGAGGAAGCTGCCATCTGTATGCGCAGGCAATTACAAACACTTCACATACTCTGTCCTGAACCCTGCAAGCGTATCAAATACTCACTGTAAAAGGTCACCCAGCAAACAGCTCTGAGCAATCCTGGCTCAGGCAGAATCAAATCCCCTAAATAAGATCCACTAGATGCCGTGTCAGGAAGGTCAGCAACAACCCTATTTCACATCTTGAAGCGTTTTCACCATGTGGAACATTTTAGGGGAAGAAGGTAGAGGAAAGAGAAAGAGAGAGAGAGAAGAAAAAAAAAAACCCTCCAGAAAAAATAGAATTCCAAGTCATTAAATGTGAAATGATCACAAAGTAAGCAGGGAATTTATTTTGGCCCCCACCTCTTTCCAGTGATTTAAAAAGCAGTTGATTTCAAAGTAGCTGTGCCAGGGTTCGAACTGGAGTTTCACGCCTCCCTTCCTCCCCCTCCCCCAGTGGGTCCCCACTGTGTACCTTTGTCGAGCTCACTTGAAATGTTCCATGATGAGGTAGGCACTAACTCAGCAGTGACTGACAACTCTGTTTCTGAAAAGAAAAAGGAGGGAGGGGAGAGAGATGAGGGCAACATTAACCTCAGTAACTTATGGGCTGTTAGAAGCATTACAGAAGATTTCCTAAGGCCCTGCCTTCTGAGAGAGACCGCTGCCATTCCATAGCGTATTAAACAGAACGGCCGCTCCCCCTGCCAGGCAGAGGTGCCTGCGTTGAAGAGGCTGTCCAGATGAATGATCTGTAGGCCAGATCGGAAGGTTGTTGTGTTTGAAACACAGGCTTAAAAATTAAAATGCAAACATTTCATTAACAAAAAGCCAAGCCTGCAAAAATGATCCACCATTATCAAACGTAAGCTTTCCCATGTCTTGTTAGAAGGCCAGTCTTATACGGATATATTCAACAGTCCTCTCACGAAAAATAAGGAAGACCAATGTTGCTTTGGCTGCTGATTTCATTCATGTTTGTGAATTTATAGCATTTGTACTCCTAGAGAAACCCATGCCTCTATATTGAAACCCTCAGTCAAGACAAAAGATAGCATTTGAATACGGAGAGCTATCTGTGGTTAACTGAACTGAAAAGATAAATTTCAAAACCACCATAAATTAAAGCCAATATGCAAATCAACAAACTAAAGGTCATAATATATTATGAAGATTTTAAAACTCCTCACTAATATGCTGTAATAATACAAATGATAACTTTGTTGTTTTTGCAAATGTAAGCCATGACACCATTCTACTAGTACATTTTCATAGGATTGCACTAATCTCTCCTTAGGTGACTTCTACACATACACACACACACACACACACACACACACACACACACACACACTCACTCACTATGTTATGAAACTTTAGTGCTGTGCAGGATCTCAGAGTCCCAGAGCCCTAGGCCATTAGAGATATGGTACCCATGCTGTAAGTTCCCCTTCCTTCAAGCTGGTACAGACATCACTCATCAATCATGGCCCTTCTTGTCTAGTAAACCTGGGATCTGCCTTGGCGTCTTTTCAACACACTCCTCTAGGCAGCCACTAAGAATGCATCTGAGTTGGCTTCTGAGGTGAACTTTAGTAAGTGGAAGAATTGGGATTCAAATCCAGGTCTGTCTGACTCTACCACCCACACACAACTCCCAGCAGCCCGTGCTGCCTAGTACTCAGGTCTATGAAACAAACCTGAGTTGCTTTTCACCTCACCTCTCCCTTGCTTCACCTTTTCACCTAGATAAGCACACTTTCCACATTTCCTTATTTGCTGATGGGAACTGTCTGCCACATGGTTGTAGGAGCCACACGCCACCGCCAGTGAGCTTGGCCAAGGACAGGATGTTTACCTGCGGAGACCTTGCAGGGGCCCACTTGTAGCTTGTCTCCTGAGTCTTCGATCAACCTGCCACACACGGCTGAGACAAAAGGGTTGTTTGGTTTGTACATACCTCTTTGGTTTGCCTCTTTCCCTGTCCACGTGGGAAAGGAAGCCAGTGGGAAAGAAAGTACACAAACCATACATGCCCTCCCTATTTCATGTGGCCCCTGTCGCCTCCTACCTCCTGAGGGGGAAAAAAAAGCATAGATTCTTTTAAGGGTACCTGAAGTCGGACAGGCTGTATGACCGAGGTCTTAAAGCACATAAAATTCCAAATATGAAACCAAAAAGAAACATTTACCCAAATAAGAAAACTGCTTAACACAACACCCAGGAAAAGGCTGTGCTTCTGCTTCAGCCACTTGTCCTGGGAAGAGCATTTACGCAGGTGATCCCACCAGGAAGAGCTGAGTGTCCACACTGCAGGGCCCTCAGAGAATGACTCTCACCCAGTTCCACCCTGGCCCCATCCTGATACCACCCACTTGGCGTTTTGAATAATAATAGCCCCTTGTTTGCAGTAGCAGGGGCCACTGTGGTTTGCCTTAGAAAAAGGCTCATCAGCCCAGCCAGTGCGACTCAGTGATTGAGTGTTGACCTAAGAACAGGAGGTCACGGTTTGATCCCCGGTCAGGGCACATGCCCAGGTTGCTGGCTCCATTGCCAGTATGAGGCATGCAGGAGGCAGTGGATCAATGATTTTCTCTCATCATTGATCTCTCTCTCTCTCTCCCTCTCTCTCTCTCTCTCTCTCTCCCCGCTTCCTCTTCGAAATCAATAAAAAATATTTTAGAAAAGAAAAAGGTTTATCAAACACTCCAACGTGCATGCTTCAGGGAACTTGGGAACAGAAGCATGGTAATCAAGGAGGCATTTCAAGAGTGGAAGCTAAGGGTGGCAAAGTGGTGGGATTAAGACAGATCTTGACAACATTTACATTCAATATTTTCATAGCTTCATCTTACTGCTGCTCACAGTTACATTGCCAGCATTATAGGCTTCATTTTGCAGTACTAATTTTATAGAAAGTTAGTTGTAGTATGTCACTTGGTTTTTCTAACCTGAGTTTGAATATAATTCAATCGCTGATTGAATATAATTTAGGGCTGATGACAAATGAATAGAATCTTGGCACTGCTAACAGTGAAATTGTCCCCATGTGTCCCTGGACAATAATTACCACTTGGTTCATGGGGTACAGCAAAGATCATTTCAATTCACAAGCTCATTAAGGGACTGTGATGATTTGGAGGAATGTTGTTCTCAGCCTCAAGATCTATTGCTTCAGATAACCGCATATTCAGCTTCTCAGATAAAATGATAATAAAAACAGATCAAGTATTTTGAAATATAAATAATCTCGCTCTGAAAAATATTATCTTGAGCCACATTTGTAAAAGGTTATTTTATGTGAAAAGTTTAGTAATTCCCCTCACAAAAATAATGTTTAATAAGCACTGCCCCCCACCTGCCCCATGAAAGGAAGGCTGAAGTTTACCTAAAAGAAATTGAGCACATCTCAACTTGACCTCCATTGATTCCAGAGTCAGCAGCAGTGTTAGAGAGATACATAACCATCAGTCTCGACCCTGCAGTACAAGCATGTCAAACTCACAGCCCACGGGCCACATGCCTCATTTGTTTGGCCCGTGTTAGCCTTTGAGTTTGACATGCTTGCTGTAGTATCTCCACTGGTGGATTCGGTTCCTCTCCTATTCTCACCATGGCTAAGGGATGAGCTATTTAATACCAGACGAGCAGCTTTTCTTTGTGTAAAATTACTGTGGTAACAGCAAATTAGTATGTGTCAATTAGGGCACAGTACAATATTTCATAGAAATAGACACCTAGATTAAAATACTAACTTCTGTCATTTATAATTCTGTGATCATGGGAGTTACTTTCTGTAAGATGGGGACAGTAAAGCTGTCTCACAGGACTGCTGGAAGGATTAAATTAGACAGTGGGCCATAGGGTCCTGTAAAGTGCCCAGCACAGAACGCACACTCAAGGATCTTTCACGCTGCCCCCTCTGTAGCCATTCTCCACGTGGACATACTCCAGTTAGCTGCTAGGTCCTTGTCTGGGTTTGAAATAACACAAATGCCGTGCTCTTAGAAAGATTCTATTTCACATGCCTTACTAATCCAAGCCAATCTTTTCATTTTGTGAGGTTTTCCTGAATTGGTCACCAGCTCTCTCAGAACATAAGTGTTTTATGTGGTTTGATCCAACTGAGGCAAGTGGAGCATGTTTTAGAAAACGCCAGCTCTTATCTTTCCTGACCTCGGCGGGAGGGCGCACCATTCTTCTCCCGATTTGATCAATAGGAGCTATTATCTTTGCAGTTTCACTGATGATTGACTTCTTGGCACTGGTTCTGCAAACCATAAGGTTTTGGTATTTAAGCCTGAACAGTGGGAGTGTTATTTGGAGGGAAGGAGAAAAAAAAAGAAGCCTTGAATCCTCCTCATTGATAAAAGCCTGTGCTTTCCAAAAGGATTACTGGTTCATCTCAGCAGTTGGCAGGTAGAGACCCAACGTTCACAGGAAGCAGAAGCTCTTCCAAAAAGCACCCGGCCATGCCACATCCTGTCTCCTGAGCCAGTGATACGTGAGGTTACACAGACATGGACCAGCACGCTCATGAGACCAGTGTCCAGCCCAGTGGTCACAAAGGAGAGTGTGAGGGGACAAGTGGCTACCCCAGAGCCTTTCTCATAAATGTGGCAAAGCCATTAATTTGTTGAAGAAAGAAAAAGTTTTTTAAATATATTGACATCTGTGGCATTCATCTTTTTATATAGAAGAAATTGAAAAAAAAAAAAAAAGTTCTCCAGATCTATGAGGCTCTCCTTTTGCTCAGAGATCTTCTGAACAGTTCTACAAGGTGGGTAGGTACCACCTTCATCTTCATTTAAAGACTGAAGAATCTGAGGCAGGGCATACTAAGGCACTTGCCTACTTAAGTTTGTTGGGGTGGGAATGGGGACTGTGGTCAAACCCAGGGGGTCTGAAGGCAGAGCCAGTGTCTCAAACTGCCAAAATGGGGTTGGGTGGAGGCTGCTCTCAGACTTCTGACCTACTCAGCCCCAGAAGACCCTGTGAACTTTAAGCTCTGCAGAACACAGTTTGAGAACCAGTACCAGAGGCTACACTCCTCTCCCATAAGTGGTTGGTTCCCTAATTCTAAAACCTAAAGAGGATGGTAGGCAACACAAAGGGAGGAGAGGAAGCAAGTCTCGATTATACACAAATGCTTTACCCCCTTGGGAAATACTATCTTTTCTTTAAATCTGCTAAATTAATATTTAAGTTCACACGCAGTTCTTGTATTTAAAGGAATTATGCTACCAAAGCACCATGGCAACACACATCTTTAAAGTGAATACAAACAGTCTTGAAAACTATCTTACTTGAAATTGTCATGCTTGGGGTCTCTTCCATGGAACTGTAGGGATTCACTCATTCATTCATTTGACACACGTGTGCATGGTCATTTCCCATGTATAAGAACTGGGATTAAAAAAGCTTGACCTGGTCCCTAACAATGATCAAGACCCTACAGTCTACTGGGAAAGTAGTACAGAGACAAGATTATAAACTACGATGGGACAACAGTAGAAAAGGACAGAAATGGCCTCCCTATCCCATGAATCATTCCTCCCACCTCATCCCATCCAGACCACAGACACCAAAACTACTGAATAAAATATCATAAAAAATATAATGCATAGCTCAGATTGAAGAGGACATTCTCAGGTGCCCAAAAGGAAGAGAA